GTTCCTTATCGAAAATCGAATACTTCGTTTGAATTTAAATTTTAGAGAAGAAGGTTGGTATGTGAGGATATAATGTTGAGATATATTTTTATAAAGCCTTTAATGAAATCAGGCATATTACTGTTTACGACTAAGTTGATAGAACCGTTGTATGTTTTTAGTTTCTTTGAACACGATGTTGTGGGATCAATAAACAAAAATCGTTTAGGAAGTAACGTCCACAGAAAAGATCGTCGAAAGGTAGGTAGGCTTATCTCGTCTTTAATTTGCCCGTAGCAGTATATATCTGTGCCTGTAGCCGTAGTAAGAGAAACTAGTGTTGGTTCCGTTGATAAACTGTTGACGTAGATTATGTGGAATTATAAATAAACTGGAACCAGTATCAATTATGAATGAAAACTTTTTTGTCTGCAACGTTGCTGGTATCTGTAATAATGGCAGACTCGGGGGCGGGAGATGTCGTCCGCCCAATTAGTTTCCCGCTTCGATTGGCGCTGGTGGAGATGGACGCGAACATGGCTGTTGTATCAAGTCTCATTTTATGATCGGCCATTTGCATCAGTGTGTACATGAACATGCCGCGTTCGCATAATGAATGTGTAGTGGACCGTGGCTGTGATGTTGTTGAGTAGAAGTAGAAGAAACACATGTGGGTTCAGATTTTCCTGCTAGCCGGTCCAACCACATGAGAAAGTTGGACTTTTAATTAAGTCCAAAGAAGAAGGCAAAGAAAACAAACACAAGACTGATAATATATGTATACAAATATATATATTAATAACAAAATACTTACATGGAAACAGTTACAAAGGACAAAGTGTGTGTGTGTGAATATTGTGCTTAGCGTGTTCCCAGCTTTTGGGAAACGCTATCTCTGGTGAGCGTTCACATCTTCGAGGTAATAAGGCTGAAAGCCTGAGGAAAAAAAGAGATTTACTTCCAAGTGTCGGCACAAAGGCCTGAGGGAAAAAGAGAAAGAGGCGAAGGGTCAGCGACTATTTATAGCCAGGGAAGAGAGACTCCTGGTGAAAGGGTTAACGAACTAAAGGAGAAGTTAACTCCGACAAATGTGTACTCTACATATTATTTGTTATTGTCCTTTTGGGAAAGATTTGAGACCATAAGGTATTGCTGAGGATTTAGTAGGCACTTCTTTCGTCTGAATTTGGTTACAGGTGCTTATTTTAGCAGTGCCTTGTATTAAAGGCATTAATTCACCCGCCGAGGGTTTCGGGGGTAAGACGCGCCGGCCCTGACAATGTACCAAACACAATATGAATTTTGTTTTCGTCGAAAAATGAGATAAACTTCCGTCCAGCTATCAACAGCTTAAACACCTGCATTCGTGTTAAACAATGCATTTATGAGATATTTTAAAATAAAAGTAAGTTGTGGTGATATGGTCGTACGACGAACGTCAGGGTTGCCAATATATATGTAGCAATAGGGGTACCATTATTGTTTATTCCCGACGGAATCGCCAAATATGTAGCGGTTTTATTACCATTATTGTTATTTGAGTTACCAATATTTAACTTGGGCTAGGAAAGATGAGATTAAGGACAATGCGTGGACGCAATGCAATTTATATTTGACGTAAATAGCACATATAATAAAATACAAAACTGAACGGAATGATAGAGTCATGTCCCTTTGATTAGATATTAGTTGTACCTGAGTTCATATTAAGAAAGTTTGGAATTGTGAGTTGCGAAGTTGGTAAAAGTTCAGGAGTGATTTCAGAGTTCGTGAATGTTGGTAATTGTCTTTAACGTCTGGCCAGCAATGTCTAAGACGGGAGTTCCTGAAGGTTACATCTTGGCACTTGAAGCAAGGAATTAGAAGTGCAAGAGAGATGAATGGAAAGAAAAACTACTCAGAGAGTTCACACATGTTCGGTTTTTATAATGGTTGTGTGGCTCCCAGCATATGAGCGGGAAAACAGATTGGTCACGAGCAGGCGGTTTGATTGATCGGAACTGACCAATCAGCAAGCTAGATTGGAGGTGATTGACCAATGAATACTTGTTGATTTTTGTATGAAAGTAGGCTGTTACTTACCAGATAGGAAGAGTGCATTTCCTAAAAAGAGGTAAGGCTGGTTTGTTGTGGAAGATCCCACAAAGTAATATTTGTTACAAATCAGATTAAGTAAATTTCAAATCAGCTAATATTCCTCAAATAAATATTCAGAAAAGTATATTTTATTTTTGAAAGAACTCTTAATAAAGAGAATTACATTGTACTGACAGATGGCTAAAAAAGCAATGATTAAAATAAAACAAGAAAACTCATTTTAGTCATTTAAAATTAATTTTGAAATCCAGTAACGTATTTTGCTTATTGGAAATATTTAAATTCAATCTATATTAGTTTGAAATTAAAACTAAAACAAACGCTTCAAGAAAGATTTTTCATTTTAAAAAATTAATTTTATTAAACTTTAGATATCTCGTTCCGTTTCAGTGGCGGTACCTACTGTAAAGTTTTCTTAACCAAAATCTAAAAGTTTTTTTTTATTTTATAATAAATTAGTAGGCTTCGCCCGCTCGTTATCGCTTCGCAAAGTAAGAGTCATTACTTGAAATCTTTGAAACAATAATTTTAAATGAACATTTCATTCATAAATTGGCTTGTTTTAAGTTTTAGATGCCAACTTGTTGAAGGTCAAGTAAAAAAAAAATGCAAATTTCAAACACTTTTCAGCACTATATAAGTAGGACAATATTCCTAAACATAACTATTTTTTATATGAAAATCAAAACAATCCTCAAATAAAAGAATAATAATAAAAACAGTTGAAATATACTTTTTAAAAATCAATATGCAAATTAAACCTGAAGAGTGATATAGCCTAAAAGTATTGACCCCCCCCCCGGCTTCGTACCCCTATTCTGTATTGTTAAGAATTTATAATAATTCGTGGGTGAATTTAGCTCTAATTTTCGCATGTATTAAGATGAATAACGGGAATGTTAGTTTGTGCGATATTGACAATTTGATCCTTCGTTCATCTATCCTACCTATAGTCAAATATATATACCTCAAAATAATAAGAACTTTCTACCAACACTCTTGCCTTTTACCGTACGAGCTCCAACCAACATGTTGACAGTAGTCTTTTTTTTTAATTATTATTTATTCACTAGTGTCGCGTCTGTAAAAAAATGACAGAATAAGTTGTTTGATTAATTTACATTTCTCTTTTGAATATTTAAAAGAAAAGAAGTCTGAATTATGTCCCGTCATTTTTTTTCTCGAACTCCCTCAACAAAAAAAAAAAAAAAAATAAATAAATATAAAATAAAAATCTACTCGCCATTTGCTAAAAAAAAACCCTCATAAAGTCAGTAGTTTACACAGTTCAATAAACAAACAAAACTATGTGACTAAAACTATTATTTTTAAAAGTAAAAATTGTTAAAAAAAAAAAAAAATTTGTTCAACTACTAAACTTTCATTAATGAACAAGTAAAATTAAATTAGTATGTAAATTTCTTTTTCCAATATTTTTTACGCCTTTTAGCTGAAGAAATAAGAAGACGTACATTTGTTTTTAATTTATTACTACTGTACAGCACCGTGTCAAGCTTTTATTTGATGAAATAAAGTAAATAAGGATGTGCACACAATTCAAAAGAAAAAAAAAGTTTGAAATGCCTAAAAAGTAGATGTTTGAAAATACTAAACATCTTGAGAAAAATAACTTATTTGAAAATGAAATTTTGTGTGTTTGCGTGTATGTGTGCACGCGCGAAATAAAGTAAAAAATATAGGTACTCGAGTACTGACATTATTTTTAGGAAAATAAATCTACATTTAAAATTTAGTATTCTACGGTGTTCAACTTTTTATTTGTAGTGAGCCTGAGGTTTAACTTTGACGAAACAAAAAAATCAATATATAAAGGAAAGAGAAACGGGAGTTTTGAAAAGAAAAAAAGGAAAAGCTATTTAACAAGTGCGAGTAGGCGATATAAGTTTTAACTGGAACCGGAAGGTTTTCGTTTCGGTGTCGGTGAAACTGTGCAGCACTTGACGTAGTTATTAAAAGAAAAAATACGAACAGAAAACATTTTCTAAACTTCTCACTGTTATTTATTTATTTAATATTTATTTCTTGTAATTGTTCGTGATTTGTTGTAAAATAGCATCGAGTTGTCCAATCGAATGTCTGGGAAAAGATTATACCTCCGTGTATGAACAGGTCAAAGGATATCTGAAAGTGGGTTAAGAACTTAAGAAGATAACCGAAAGCCACTTCTACGCTTATCAACATCGCATCATAAATTATTTAACTAGTCAACTTGACAAAATCGAAAACTCCTCTAAGGCCACAAAAGTTGCAAGTGCTAATGTGAAATAAATAATAATTCTGTAAAATTTTAAAATTGTTGTTTAAACACAAATAATTATTTAGAAGAAACTAAAACAATACCTAAAACCTTTTTTCTATTTATAATCTGACAACGATTCATTAATGCGATGAGTATATTAAACAGCCAATCAGAATAAGTGCTTTGTAAAAAAAACAAAAAAAAACTAGTCACAACATTTATATATTAAACCAGAGATTTAATCTAACCGATGTTAATTATGATAAACTTTTATTAATTTAATAGATAAAAAAAAGTATTTAAAAACTGAACTGATAAATAAAAAATTACTGAAAAAAGTAGTTAGAGAAGGGACATTAGCGAATTTCTGATTGGTTAATAAAATTCATGAGTGAATGGCTGTGATTAGTTGAATTTTCTGGTTGCCATAGATACCGCTCTTAATCGGCCAATGGCGCCGATTGGGGGAAAAAGAAGGTAGCCATTGCTTGGCAGATATTCTATTTTTTTCTTAATTTATTTTTTTATTTTATTTTAGTTATTTATTAAAGCAGTCACAGATTTCCGAAGATGAAACTTGCGAACAGAAGAAAAATATGTTTTATTTAATTACATAAATGGTGGAATAACATGATTACAATATAAACGATTGGTGTAATTAATTATGAAGGTAAATGAAACCTTTTTTTTCAACTTTTGTAAAATCAAACATTTTTTTTTTGTCATGTTTTTGTTGCTTGTCGAATAATACTCGCTAATATTGAACCTTTTAATTTTTGAAATTGGATAAATTCTGTCTTTATTTATAAACAACGAAAATATAAAAATAGTAAAAAAAAAAAAGACCTGAACTGATTTCAACGTAGTTTTGAGAAGCCATGTTTTCATATTTTTTTTACGAAATTTAAAATTGTCCTTATTAAAAAGAAACAGAAATACTTGTTTATCAAGGATTGGTTTAAAAATATCTCCCGATTTGTATATTTATTTAGTTCAACCCAGGTCACATACGAGTAAACTTTTTTCTTTTTACATCGGACTTTTTTCTTGTGGACATGTTGTTTTTTTTTTTTTTTTTTGTTTAATTTATTTACTTTTTTTTTTTTTTTTTTTTCTTTTAGTTTTTCACGATCACCAGAAAAAATAAAAATAAAAACACAATGTATGTCATTTATTTATTTTAAAATATGTGGTTATTTCAATTCTTTATTTTTGTTTTTAATATACAACGTGGATTTAACTTATTAAATCAACAACTTTTCATCCACTTTTTTTACATGTCCGAAAATGTGGGCTAAAAAAATTTATTAGCCATTTGAGTTGTATATTCAATTCATTATCTATATTGCCAGTTTATATTGTAATTTAAATAATTAATTTAAACCATACTGTGATTACCATTAATTATTAATTAATTTTTTTTACCAACTAACATCATTCAGTTTAAATTTTGTATTTGTAAATAAGCAAAACTTGTTTAAAACTTTAAAGTTTACTTTTCTGAGTTTTATGGTGCGTAACATTTGGTTGTTCATCATGATGTGTTTCAAGGGCTAAACTTATTGAAAAGTTCAGAGTTCATTTTTCTATGTAGGGTTTTACATTTGTAGTATGTATATTTGAGTGTATTACAATTGTAAATTATAATTAACTTTATTCAAGTTGTTAAAAAGATTTACCTATTGCCTTGTTGGTGAGGCTTTCTACCAGTGGGTTGTATTGTGTAATTCCAATTGACTTTTGTCTCCTATTGAAGTATATATCACCTGGCACAGTCCAAAATAATGAGGCGCTCACTGCCAGTAAGAACCATATTTTGGAAAGAGAATCTCTTAACACTTGACAAAAATTCTTATCTGTGGTGAATTTTTTCCTTTCAACAGATTTCTAAAAACGGCTACTTATGCTTTAAGACCTTTTCATAAAGGTTTAGCATTTTAGTCCTTCATTATTTGTAGGTTACTCATATTTGTTAAAATTTAAATTTCTGATCTACATATGGGAAATATTTAACTTAATTCTTTAAAAGTATTTAATTTTTAAAGATAAATATTAGTTGTAGAAGTGCTGAAACATACCTGATCTTCGATATGATATTTTACTTTGTGTTTGTACGAGAAAGGTTTCTGTTAGTCAATGAATTTTTATCATTCTCTTGTTACATTGAAAGATGCAAATTGCTGTAACAAAGTTTGGGTGAGTTTTCATTTAAATAAACAATCTCTGTAGCCATTTCTGATATACTTGGTCAGTTTTTAATTTCTCTTCAAAGAAAGTAACCAATTTGTTTCATCTTCATTCAAAGAATTTGGAGAGACTTGCAAAAAACTTTGGCTTGGTTATAACATTTGCCTTAAAAGTTTCTTAAAAGATATTTTGAGAAATGATTTACAGAAAAGTCAGATGAGAAGTAAATGAAAACATTTGATGAGAATTGAACTCTGCTAATATTGATCAAAAATAGGTTGAGAAATATACAACTTCTGTTAACACAAACCATGAACTTTAAATAAGGAGACTTTTAGGGTCTTTTTCTTTTCTTAAGATATCTTCCTTGTTAGTAAAAAAAACTAAAACAGTCAGGAATCTGGGCACAAATAGAAATGAAGGTCTGTTGTTGAGGCATATGATTAAATAAATACAAACATCTTAGTAGCTATTTTATGTAAGATAACATAAAACTAAAATTAATATGAGTGGTTGCTTTACACATCACATTAAATCTTATTTACATCACCTAACTCTTGTGTGCATAATATATGATGATGATGATGATAATAATAATAATAATAATAACAACACCAGTGTTATATTTGATAACAAGGAATTTGTTACCATGCTGTGTTGATGTAAAACTGTGTCAGTTGCTATATCAGTGAAGATGCAAAAGAATAAAACCACAACTGTCAGTTTAAACACTGGATAAAATCCAGGGGCATTGTATTTTTCCCTGAATGTTACAGATTTACAGACACCCAAAGAAGGATGGGGAGAGCACAATGGTTGAAATGTGATCATAAAAACCGTGGCATGATCCATCTCATCCATTAATGGATCTGTCCTGAACATATATATTCAAGAGAACTCTGCTGATATGAATAGTATATTAAAGCTCAAAGGAGTCAGATGGTCTGCTACCTGGCTCTTGTGTGGGGAGGTAGACTGCTACCCAACCCTGTGCATTCGGGGTCTACGGTGAATTTTTGCCAGAGTCTACAGGCTTGGAAAGACCCACATTAAACCGACCTTGTGCCACATTCTGCTTTGTGGGGAGCTTGGATAAATACCGAGTATTTTAAAGCTCAGCTTGTTAGACTCTCTGCTTTTAAGCAGAGAGGAACAGGCAAGGCTATGCCTATGGGCAGAGTATCATCTGGGGTAAAGTAGAGTGCAACCTGATCCTATGTATGTGGGGTCTATGGGAGAATTTTTGCCTGAGTGTACATGCTCGGAAAGCTCCACATTAAAAACCAATTTTGTGCCAAATCCCGCTTTGTGTAGAGCTTCGGTAAATACTAAGTATATTAAAGCCTACTAAACCTAAGTAATACGTATTGTCTAAAACAATTCTACTACAAGAACAAAGATGAGAACATTAGTCTGGCTGTAAATAGTGATAACTCTTCATCCCAGAAATTCTGACACTTCCTCCTTGTTGTCTTTTTAAAGTTGTATTTGTTTACTATCTTCATGGAGCAAACCCGAAAGTCCAGCTATCGGGTCTGTCAAGACGATCCATTTCCCAAGACTGTCAACCATGCAACTAGGGTCCACAACTGGGGGCAGACATGTGGAGACCTAAATTACTAATAAATAACAATTGTTGAGAACATTTTTAGCAAAGAACTTGTCAGTAATGTCCACTAATTAGTTAATTAGCAACTATATATAATATTAGAAAGCATTTTCTTACAATTATTGCCTTATTTCCGTAAATGCAACGAAAGAACAAGAAATAACATAAAATAGCTAAATGCATAAAAATCACTTTATTCGCCATAAATTGCACATTTCTAGATGATATTGTGAAAATAATGAGTTAATGTGTTTATACCAATTGATCACAGAAAATGTAATTGTATAATACAATTAGAAAGCAATTACAGCATTTTACAAAATCCTGTATCAACAAAGTCTGAAAATACTTTACAAAAATGTGAATTTCAGAGAAACAAAAATTTTGATAATCTTTACAAAATTTTTGATTTTTGTTACATGTACAATTTGTTTAACAGAAGATGAAGAAAATGCTTATTTTGCTATGTTACACTAATAGATATTACCAGTCACAGCTGTTTAAGAGTTCCTATAGCACCCCCCTCCCCTGATTAAATAAAGTCAATTCAGGTCTGCTATGGTAAAAAAATTTCTATCCCAAGTAAAAATCATCAAAAAAGTAGCAAAAGTCATTTTGTCACAAAAAATGGATTTCCATGCTTTTATAGAAGTAAAACAAGGTAAAATATTGAAAAATGACTGTTTTGTCATCATCTGAACAAAATATCAAGGAAACTTTTGATCTGGATCCCCATGAAACTAGGTATTTTCTGAAAGCAAACGGTATGTTCTTTCATGTAAAAGTAAAATTGGTTGGTGTAAATGACTAAAAAATTTTTTCAGGTGGTAAAATGTGAAAAAATAGTGAAAATTTTGCATTTTTTCTAGTTCTAAACAAAAATTTTCCCCAGTAATGTGAAATTAATTTTTTTAATTTATTTTTTTAAATCAGAAAGCCTAAATTATAATCAAACTATTTCAGACATAAAATTGAGAATTTGAAACAAAACAAAATTTCCAGGGGGTCAAAATGCAACAAAGTCTGTTGGTAATTTTCCATTATATGCCCACCAGGGGTTAAAAAATTGATGTTGTATTCTTTGACATCAACATTTGATTTAAGAAGTAGTATTTTCAATATTGAAATTTTTCAATAACATTTTGAACTGTTATAAAATATGCACCTCCAGAATTCATTTTCTAAATTGTTTGTGGTAAATTCACCAAGCACAACAAAATTAAACCCACTACTTAGCAAATATCTACAAACATCAATTAAGTCATTGCATGTATGTTCAGTGATTAAACTAGTATTTCTTGTTAATGATTTCATTCTTTTTCCTTGATTTCCTCCCAATCTTTTTGTCATTTTTCCAAAATTAGAAAGAAATAACAGATGTTCATCATTTAAATCTGACGACACCTTTTTCAATGAATCATTTTTCTTAGTGTCACCATATATTTCTTTGACGCAGACAATTTTCCAAAATTTTAAAACTTTTTCAATGAAATTAACTGTTTTAATAATGGGTATATTTTGATGACAGATACAGTTGATCACAAAAACTTTTAAACAATGGGAAACATTTTGTCACTCAACAGGTTTTGGGTAAAATGCTACATCAGTCAGTTTTGACAGCTTAACAAAGTGAGTTTTTTCTTACTCAGAAAGACCTTTTACAATTTACAATTTTTCTGTCATCTTTTTACCTTCAGAATAAAACTAATTCAGAAGTAGGTTGAGTAATCCAATTATTCTGAATATATCTTTAAAAAGGTGAACATAATCAGGAATTAAGTATGAGCCATTTTTAGTTATCTAATGCCTATTAAAAACAAAATCAAATTTTGGGGAAAAAAGATTGGTGGGTCTTGTTATTGTTGTTTTCAATTATTTTATCTTCTGATTGCATTGAAAATATATAAGATTTTTTTCATATAAAAAAACTTGCCTCTTATTTTGCCACTTAAGTAAAAAAATTGTCCACCATTTAAACATTTTACCATGATGCTTAATACTGTTTTTTGTTAATCTGTTAAAATTTTCCTCCAAACCAAATAAGATTCATCCATTATGTTGTAGAGCAACCTTAGTGTACAGTTTATCAGATATTTCACTGAAATATCACCAAGAAAATTAAAGTCATCTAATTTTGAGACTTTTGATGTCAAAGCTGATAATGTTCTCACACTGAGTAACTTACAATCATCCTGAAGTCTGTTATATAATGACCGAGATGTAATAAAATATTTAAATGCCTTGAGAAGAATATCAGAATCAAAATATTTTATCTCAATCATTTGTGGTGACATAACATTAATATGCTCTTTTAAATTATTTTTTCTTATCAATCTTTAATTTACTAAGATAACAAATTGCTTCATTGATTTGTGACCAGTGCTTAAACATTGATATTAGACTTTTTGAAAGGAAAAATTGTTGTATATATACCAGCATGGTAGTATCCAAATCTCAAGTTTTCCAAAATTTTAATTAAAAACATTGGAATACTTCCAGTGGAAAAAAAAAACCAAAAAAACAGATTGGATGAACAGCTGATTGTTTGATTTATAGAATATAACTGATGAGACAAAATCTTATTGATCAATATTCTGATACAATTGAGAGAATTTTGTCTTTTCTATAAACTCTTCCAACTCATCATTTTACATATTTTGCACAGAAGTATAAGTCTTATTTGTTGGTTTTGTTGGAAGACTATAGGTAATACTTATGACAAATGATTATTGGATTTCTAGGTTGCACTTGTAATAACCACTGTTTCATAATCAGATGGAAAATGTGTTTCATAAACAACAGTGGTGTTCTATCGTCATTGGCTTTAACCATCTTTCTCGCTCATTCTGATCTTGGGGAAGACAAAATACATAAAACTCATTTATTATGAAGAATAGTATCATAAAAAAAAGGGTTAAATTAAATTTTTATTCAAATTTTTTCAAATGCACAAATTTCTATATTAATTTTAGAAAATTAGCAGAGTAAAAAGTTACATTCTTTTTTTGGTTTTCTTACAAGAATAGTATCTGCATTATTTTACGTGTTATAAAGAAAGCACAAATTATTCCTTAAAAAATGAATTTATATTCTCGATATATTCATTATCATGAAGAATAATAGCACAAAGAAAAAATTAAATTAACTTTTTGTGACAATTCTTAATAATGAAATTTTTTTGTGAATTTCTTTGTTTAAAATAATTACAAAAAATATTAAAAAAAACCTGAAAGATGATATTGACAAGCAATCAATGTCTTTTCTTTATTTTTGTGGTATATTTTTAAGAAACATTAATAAAATTATTAAATTTAATTTTTTGCATTCACTTTGATAAATTCTTTAACAAGCATCATTTTTCATTAATTTCACAGTGAAAAATGATACATGTTTTAATGTCTTCTATTTATTTATGAAGGACAGAAAAATTTAACATACTTTATTTTAAAAAAAATTTGAGGAAAATAATTTTATATTTCATATGTTCATTGTTGAAGAATAATGGCATAGAGAAATATATTAAATTTAAATTAACTTTATGAATTTTTAATGACACTTGTGAATTTTGCACTGAAAAAGTCTATTTAAAGATAAAATATGCAAGTCCAAATAAAATAAATAAACATTATACTTACCTGAGTATCTTAAATAATAAGCTTAAGTTAATCCAAAGGTAAGAAGTAAACATTTGTTTAAAAAAAATTTTTTTTTTTATTTCAATTCCAGCAACAAACTTTCATGTGTTAACTGTTCACCTCCAGTCACTCACAGTTCAACACGGTGGAGAGGGCCTGAGTTATGGATCATCTTGAGCTATATACATTTATCAGTAAAAATTGATGTTGAGAAATCATTTTTCATTTGTGATGTTTACTTAAAAGTAGTATCTGTCTATATTTCTGAGATGAGATATTGTAACTATTTACACTATTTACATTGTTTGGACTGTTGTCCTCATCTTTGTCATATTCACAATTTGACAATAAAGATGAGGACACCAGTCTGAACAATGTAAATAGTTGTTAGGTTGCTTTTTTTTTTTTTTTTTTTTTTTTTTTAATTCTTATATACTGCCGCTTTTCTGCCTGCAGCCTACAGTTAAATCACACTGTAAATACTGGTTCTTGTTTGATCATCTCCAACAAAGTTAAGCAGCATCAATCATGATCAGTACTTAGAGATGGGAAGGACCTTGGAAACACTGCAACCTTCTACAATCCAGAATGTGTTGGCTTTAAATAACCCACAAAGGGTTGATAAAGTGTAATAAAAAAAAAATCAATGAACTTTCTATCTGCAACACTATGTAACATCAGATTCTTCAGATATTTTTCAATCTATTTTTCTCTTTTTATGACATGCGTAAAGCCATTTTTGTTATCTTACTAATGTTTTCAGCTTCCTTTTTAATTGTTTTTTGTGCAAGTTCTATTAAATATTTTTGTAATTTCCAAAATTCTGTTGCCATCACTCAACAACTTTGTAAAATCTTGTTTTTTTTTTTTTTTTGTGCTTATATCTTTATCATGTCCCATAGCAATCTTCATATATTTGAAAATAAAAAAAAATATCAATAACTTTACTATCATACCTAATTATTTACAATATTATGAATAACCTTTGAGTTGTGTAATAAAATCTTATCCCACCAAGTGAGTTATTGTAAATTTTTCAAATAACAATATATAAGTTGAAATTAACATGGTTTATCATATAAATATATCTTGAAAGTTTTGTCAGCATCAGTTAACAATTTTATTGTGACAACATTGACTTGCATAATGAAATCTGACATCATGTAACACAAGAAAACACATGTGAATTCAGTATTTGTAAATATTGTCTAAATATTTTTGATGTGGCACCTTTGAACCTCTCTGCCATTATCAAGATCAAAGATCCAAAACTATGCTTTTTTTTCTTCTTTTTTTTTTTTCCCCAATTTGCATTAAATCATTTTTCTATGTTAAGATGCACAAGATAACATGGAAGTGAAATTTTTCATTGTGCTGTCAGGTGCTGAGACACCACTTTATTAAGTTATGACATTTTGTTCTCGTATGTAAATAAGAAAAAATAAAAAATTTAAAAATCATTTCTTCTTTGTAGTCTTTAATTGAACTTTTATAACTTTTCAGAAGTAAAATGTTTACATCAAAGAAAGCGATATCCATTTTGAAATTTTGTTGCATTTTCAATTTTCATTATAAATCAAACTTAAAACTTTATTGAATTAAAAGGAATGAAGCTATTTGTTTTCTGTGTTTTGTTTAAATTCAAATTTAATTTAGTTATCCTATGACCATCATTATTAGGTTATTACATGACTTGTGTGTATCTGTGCTTTCTCCCATGGATAAAAGTATCAATGTGCATAGAGAGAGAGAGAGGGTGACTTTTTTTCTTTTTTTTAATGGCTGAATTGTTTATTAGTAATAATGATTTCATGAATTTGTATAACTTCTTTTTTTGGGGGGGGTGCTTTTTTAAAATAAAATTTTTCACATCTTCTGATGATTCTTTTTTTTTAGACCCCGACACCTCCAGCTGTATCTGAGGAGTTGGATATTCCTAAGCCAGCCCCTGGAGAAAATGTCTATCCTATATATTCACAAGGTGTAATTTGTGGCTACATTCACTCTGGTGGCAACCAAAAAACACATAAAATATTCTTGAATGGAGAGAATCAAACCAGTTCGACTGAGAATAAGTAAAGTTGAAATCATTCAATTTACAATTTGAAATTTTATACTTTTTTTTTTTTTTTAAATTTCACATATATTTGAGCTTTTCTCATTAACTGCAACCTTTCATAATTTATTCAGTTTGTGTGACTATTTATATAATTATTAATATTTACCATAGAGGGAGTTGATATTTTTTTTTTTTTTTTTTTTTTTTTAATTTACCAGACTGACATTTTGTGCTGTTGTTGTTAACTTTAATGAGCTTTAACATTTGTGTACTAAATATTTTTGTTCACTATACTATTACTCTAACAAAACTCCTGTTTTACAGTTATGGTCAGCTCATTAGATGTATAAACTTTTGTTAGTTTATTCATTTCTTACACTATACTTAATAAATGTGGCTTTGGGCTCAAATTATCTTAGTTTAACAAATATCACATTATTTTAACTCTGAGCTGACTTTGTAAGTTTTTGTTTGTAAAAAAAAATTATTTCCCTATTAAATTGACTCAAGTTGACTTTGATTTTATTATTTCTTCTCTTGGAGAATGTACTAACATTCCAATGATAATCTTCCAGCTAGAGTCTGACATATGCCAACAGGAAGAAGGCTTGACTATTGGTTCACTGTTGTCACCAGTGATGGAGAACATATACATGGAATACTTTGAGAAAATGCCTTTAGAAATGGCACCACTAAAGCCAACAGTAAGGCTGAGATACATAGATGACACCTTCATACTCTGGATGGATCAGGAAGTTGTACAAATTCTGCAGACCATGTGAACTCAATATGATCTTCAATCCAGTTTACAATGGAAAGAAAAAATGATCACCTAGCCTTCCTGGATGTAATAACAATTTGTACAGAGAATGGGGTCAAGATATCTGTGTATCACAAGCCAACCTTCACCGGACAATACCTCAACTTCAATTCCCACCATGCGTATATTGTGAAGAAAAGAATCGTTTGATGCCTATAACACCAGGCAAAAATCATAAGTAGTGACCTAGACAAATACCAACAAGAAATGATCAGCATCAAACATGCCCTTCAGAACAACAGCTATCCACCAAACATCAGCGTTTACATATCAGAAAAGAAGGGACAAGGTGGAAAATGAAACCATTACCACGGTCTACCATACATCAAGGGTGTATCAGAAAAGATTCAAAAGATCTGCAGTCCATATAACCTCAGAACCATATTTAAAATCAGATCCACTCTATGGAGAAATCTCTTCTGAGTAAAACATAACATATCAGACACCAGGTCAGGTTCAGTGTGCAGCTTCTTCCAGTTGAACACTTATTGCTTAATACGTGGAAAATTGCTCTTTGGCCAGATCATTACACATGAAATAAAACTATGAGACAAGATTATAGAAGTTATTAAATTTTATTCTGTTGCAATCTTTTCTTAAGGCAGGGTAAACAGTTTAATCAGTGTGCACCTTTTTTTCATGTTGTATTGATAGATTTATGAAAAAATGTTCATTAAGTCCACTCCACTCAGCTGACTTTCTTTGTAAGGTTCATGTGACATGATACTTGCGTGGTCCACTTCACTCAGCTGACCTTGTTTATCAAGGTGAATACTGTCAAAAATAATTTTTGTAACATTTTTCAGATGTTTCCTATAACAACTAATATCGCAACAAGAGAACAGGACCAACAAGTGCGTGTACTTGATTCCTTGCAGTTGTGGCAGAGAATATATAACGGTGAAACAAGCTCTCACTCCCACAGAGTAAGGCTGGAGGTCCATCAAAAAGCCCTACTGAGAAATGAGACAATGAAATCAGGCATAGCTGATCATGTATAAAGGGAAAGGGGTAGTCATCAGCCCCTGTGGAATGAAGTGAAAATGCTAGACAAGGAAGAACACTGGAAAGTTAGATGTCTGAAAGAATAAGTGCATATGCTAAGCTATGAGGACCTCTTTACTAGGCTTAGCATAGAAATATATCGGAGCCACTAATAAAGAAAAACAAATGGCAGCAAATCTTCAACAGCAGCAGCCACAATCAAAACAAGACTGGCAGCAGCAGTTGCAGGAATAATCAGCAGGCAGGTTAGATTAAAGGTTCCATGTTCCCAAAATGTTTTACAGGATAATAGCCTAGTGGGTTAAAACATTTGTTCATGAATTTGTTGACATAATGGTTGCCAGTTCAATTCCTGGGTCAGGCAATGGGTTAGCAATAATGAAGCAGTACTAAAAATAAGAACTAGACAATATCTCTAGACATTGGCAATGGAATGAAAACAGTCTACCTCTAGGTTTCCATCCAGCTTTCCTCAGTTCTATATCGATCTTGCTAGATCGATATAGAACTGAGGAAAGTTGGATGGCACAATGTCTGAAACATTGTGACAACAAAGATGAGGACAATTGTCTCAATATAAATAGAGTAAATAATAACTTCTCATCTCAGAAATTGTTTGGGTTTAGTTTAAAAAAAAAAGTATTTGCAAACACTCATGATGTTTCTGGAAAGAAAAACTGTGAAAAAAAATGGCCTCTAAATGAATAGTTTTCTATTATTCTAGAATTGTAAATCCTGTTTACTTTGAACTTACCTACCCTATCTACCTTTTGAGGTCTACATAAATAACAATATTAGTCTAGACAACTAATGAAATAATGTGAAATTGTAATCTACATTTCATTTTTTTTTTTTTTTTTTTTTTGTTAAGAATTCTTCTTACAATTTTTTGTTTCTATATCTCTCTCTCTCTCTCTTTTCAGGTGCACAAAGCTGAAAACTAACGACTCCGAGAAGAAATCATGCCCAGCCAAATTTTCCCAAAAGATAGCAGCTAAGCGTACATCAACACAGTCTGTCAGTTCAAAGCATAAGAAAGCAAAAACAGTTTCATCAACTGAGAAAAAAACAGTGCTTCCAAATGCATCTAGCATTGAATCCAATATATTAATAGAAAATCCGTCTGATAAATTAAATATACCATGCAGTCCTACAAAGCAGCCGAATGGTGACAATGTTGACTTGGGAAATAAAGGCTGTATGTCTAATGATAGTCTTTCAATGCCAGTGTTTGAGACACCATCTGAATTGGCAACCTCAACAGCAAACCAGAATGTTCAACAGATAAAAACTTCTACTGATTGTAGCCTTATTGATAAGCAAAATTCAAATGCCAAATCTGTTGTTATGACATCCTCTTCTCTCTGTTCATTATCATCATCTAGCGTTGCAAGTTTAGCCAACAAGATAGTCACCTCTTCAAATGTCAACCCAAGTACAAAGGATACAGTTGTTCTCTCCCCACCCTTAATGAATAATTTCAACCAGCCCATTGTTTTAGCATCAAATAACTTGGCTTTGCAATCAACAAATTGGGTACAGCCAAGTTGGCCTAATCCTGTGGCTTATGTCATTGTGCCAGCAACAAATGACCTCAGCCAAACTCCAGTTTATCTTGCCAACTCAACAAACAATTTATCACCTGTACTTCCTACAGTCACAAATGTTTCCCTTACAACAACAACAACAACAACAACAACAGCTGTATCCACAGTGGATTCCCTTGTTCAACCACCTATAACAATATCAACAGCCAACACACCCATTACTAAGACTTCTCAAGTGACTACAACCACCAATAGTTGTAACCAGTTGCTAACAATGTTACCTCTGAAAGGTGTAGTGCCAAAGAGTACTTTTGTTCAATTGCCTTTACAACTTTCGTCTTCGATCAACAAAAAACAACCAACTGATTCACCATTAAAAGACCTGAAAATATTAGAGCATTCAAACTTAGAAAATGAAAATAATGCTTTTGAAACTACTTCTACTGTGAATGAATCATCAGAAAACATTACCATCCAACAATCATCGAAACAAGAAGCAGATAATTCTATTCCAGCTTTGCAATCTCTAAATTGCACAGTTTCAAATGATGAGAAAATGAGCAAAGAGTCTCTCTCATTTGGTTATAATACTCAAAGCAATGAAGGTGACATGTCTTCAACAGAATTGAACAAAACTGTGGAAGAGAAAACTCTTGATTCAAATTTGAGTGTAAATTCTGACCAAAAAGATAAATTGGAAACATCCTCTGATGCTATGGTTTTTATTTCAGAGGAAAATAAGAGTCTTCCTTACCAGTCTTTCTCAGAAAACATTAAATTCACTCTTGTGCCAGTTAAAAAGAAACGCAGAGGTCGACCAAGAAAACCTCTAGTCCCTCCAAAATATGAACGAAAGCAAATTCCTATTCTTCCTGCAACTGCAAATATGGAAGTTAAACCTGTAAGTAAGCAACATACCTTTAATTTGCTGCCCAGTGGGAATTATGTGATTTGCTTTCAGAAGGAAACAAATGATAGTTCTTTGTCAAGTGGCCAGTCTGATGAGTTGAATGTAAACCTTTCTCAGCATGAAAACAACCAACAAGTAACTTGTGACAAAGAGAAAAAGAGACGTGGAAGAAAATCAAAGAGTAAACCATCTTTGTGTGAGGAAAAAGAAATGCCTAATTTGCCCAATCAAACTGAGATAAATATGAAAACAGAGCCACTTGACGAAGATTCAGAACTCAATCAAGAAGAATGTGAGAGTCAGTCCAATAATTGTGCATCTTCAGCATCACCACTTGTTGAAAACACTCAAACCAAATTACCAACTAAAGAAGGGAAGGATTCCGAAACTAACTCAACAATTCAAGAAGGAGAAAATGAATTGGTGATAAGCAATTGCTTCTCATTGTCAAGTCCTACAGAATCTAACAGAAAATTTATTCCTTTCAACATCACAAATTTTGGTTTAGAAAATCTCTTTCACCTTCCTAATCAAATGGATTTGTATCCTGAGAGTTTGGATGCTACAAGTGTTGTTCAAGAGGAAAATTCTACTAAGGTTGCTGAGGAGGTAAAACTCAAAAAATGTTCAGTCAAATTAGAACAATTGAATTTTCCCTCAAATTCACTTGTTGAATCTTTTTTGTCTTCTTCAGAAGAGAACAATTTGCCTTGTAAAAAACCCGCAGAAAATACCAATACTTTCTGCAACTCTACTCTAAAAGAAGATGAATCGAACATTGCAAAAGAAACTTCTTCTGTGAGTGTGTCTACATTACCAACAACAGACACAAAAATATCACTTAAAACTCCTTCTAAATCCATTTTGGATCCGGAATATTTGAAAAAATTAAAAACCAATTATCTGTCTGTTGAAAAAACTGAATTCCCAGTCCTTTCCAGTGATAGCAATGATGTGTCCCTGGAGTCAAAATCAAAATCTTCGTCTCTTTCTAAAGACTTTTTGTCAGGCAGTATAAATGATGCTTTAAAAGCATTCGATAAAAGCTTTGGTGACTTGCCCTTCAATGCTGATTCAATTGTTGCTAATTTACCCAAAGATGAGGAAGCAGATGCATTCATTGAAGGTTGTATAGCTTTTCATCAACAACAATTGTATCTGCTGCAATTACAGATGGATCAACATAAATCAACACTGGAGAAACTGAAAAAAGCACAAATCTACCTCAAAGGCACAAAATAAATCACTTGTTTTCAATAACAGCAAAAACGAGGGAAAAATTCTAATTTTCTTTCTAAATCTAATAAGAATCCATTCTTGATTTATTTGCTATGAAAGGTATATTTCTTAGAAAAATAAAACATATTTTTTATAAAGAATCATGTGGTGCTATTTTTCTGAACATAAACATTAGTTGATTTTAATTAATCAGTAACTTAGTACAATATCACAGACTATTAAAATTGGCTGTATAGGCATGATGAGGTATGTGTGTCAACATAAGAACAGTTTGATGGATCTTGGTGAACCATGACAAATTTATTAAATATTTACAAGTCCACAAAAATTGAGATTTTAGATTTTAATGAAATTTCTAATTATGAAAATGTTTACACTGAACAACTGAATTTCCCTTTGTAAAAATTAAAAGTAAAATTAAAAATGGATAAATGCCACTAACAAGTTCTCTTAAGAAAAAATTTCGAAAGACAAATATCAAATTCTTTTAGGAAGCAAATCACCAGTGACTAGATTGCTGTCATTTCAGAAGTAATACTGAATTAAATGATAGCTTTCAATTTTCTTGATGTAAAATTAAAAAAAAAAATTTTTCCCAATTTTATCTTTAGAGTCTTTTAACATCTCTGATCCTTTTTGATAAAAACAAAGAAAAAAAAAAAAAAAAAAAAAAAAAAATATATATATATATATATATATATATATATATATATATAAAAGCTAAATTTTTTAAAAATGGGCAAATATATGAAATATATTAGATTATTTACAATCTTAACATTGTGGTTGAGTCATCTTTTGATAAATTTTCTATTTTTCTGATACAAAACTTTTCCTTTTATTCTCCTTAGTATAAAAATATTTCTTCCTGCATCCAGTGTTTTCTCCCCACCCCTGTCTTGATTAAGAATCCAAGATTGTTGAAATGTCTTAAAGATCAAGATAAATTTAAAGAATCAGAGAATCTATTTACAGATAACGTCTGTCAGTGTTTTTGAGATGAGGAATTATTCTTTTGGGGTTTTGTACCTAACCAAGTATTCAGTCCATGGAGTTAGAAGATTGTTCTTGTTTTTCTTTTCATGCTTAGGTGAGATTTCATATCAGTTAAGACTTAACCAGTTTTGTGACACTTGTCCATTTCTGTTGAATGAAAGTATGTGACCTTTTAGCACTACCATGCCTAGAGATTGTGCTCACAACTGCCAGGGAACCAGGTATGTTTTCACCAATGCTTTTATCCGCTAGGACATGTAGTGTTATTTTGGTGTTTTAAATCTAATACCTTTACTCAGGTGGTGGGATTTTTTAGTGTCCTTTCTTTTTTAAGATGGTATTCATTCCTATGCTAGGTCTACTGAATTGGTTGTCAGTGCTTAATGTATGCTGATTCTTTCAGTTGTTGTATTCTCCAATGGGAAAAATGGACAAGTGTGATGAGTATTAACTGATAGGAGATAACTGCTAAACATGAAAAGCAGAATGAAAGCAATCTGTCTTTAGACTATAAAGAATTAAATTAAAAATTCTAAGTTTTCGAAAGCTTATGATAGATACATGAATAAAGCCAAACATTTGACACTTGAAATGTGAATAAAACAATCAAAATTAGATTACAAGATGAGAATGGAAAGGCATATAATAATCTAATTTCAACTTTGAAAAGCACAATAAGCACCTGTTTGCAAAAGATTCTTTAATTACTTATATATACAAATCTTCATATTTATAAGTACTGATTGTTTTGGATTTTATAATGAATTTTAAATAATTTTAAAAAATGTTTAATTTTGAAAAGATTCCTTACTATTCCAAGATGTAAGCAATTCATTTATGTTGGTGTAACAAGATTTCAGCTGTGATCCATTTTATACCTTTCTGTAGATACTTTTTCAGAAAATGGTATGATGCTGTATCTTGTGTTGCTGGAATGTACTGATGATTTTGTCAGTATCTGTCTATATTTCTGAGATGAGGTGTTATGTACACTATTTACATTATTCGGACTATTGTCCTCATAAAGGGTTCAGTTTGACATTCCAACCACCTGAAGAAGGCTGGAGTGTACAACAGCCAAAACATTGTGATAAATATGGCAACAGAGATGAGGACAATAGTCCAAATAATATAAATAGTGATTTTGTCAGCATATTAACAATCATCTTGTGTTAAAAAAAAAAAAAAAAAAAAAAACAATTTCCTTTACATATCATGCTCCTTAAGAACTAATCCAGTTGTATTCATCAAACTTTTTTGTTTCTTTGCCTAATTTAAAAATGGTTAAGTAGTTGCTAAGGAGTACCTCCAGAACATGATTTTAG